AGGGGCAGGCTATAACGTAAGGGAGTAACCTAAACGGAGTCCCCGCGCTCGACAAAGGTCAGTTATAACCGTATTAATTCGGATTGGTTTCGAACAGTTGAATCAAACCAGTAAAAGGGAGAACCCCCCCCCCCCCCTCACACACACAATTGTGTCGTCAGATTAGCGACGTGAAATGGGCCAGAGAGAGAGCCCGCCCTCCATTAGATTCCCTCAGTGAAGGGTGAGCGTGACGTAAGTAGGTCAAAATGTAGGACGGGCCTTATCTGTGCACGGCAATGGAAACTGGGCCCTCAAGGCATTAGCTGAATCAGAGGACACTGGTCAGTACTTGACGCCGTCCCTATATTTTACAGAATGCATAATTCCCCGCCAAACATCTAAAATCCCCCTCCCACATGAGAGACCGGTAAAAGAGTAAGCTCAGTTAAGATTGTATACTTGGTAGATCGCTGATGTTATTTAACTTTCAATGTCAGATTTGCGTGCGTCAGGATCATGAGATATTAATTTGGCATTCTTGTCTGAGTCACTGGTGTGACATTTCGCATGACTCCGTCAGTTGAGATCATCGCAATTGGATTCAAAGACTATAACATATAAAAAACTGACTGCGATGTATGTTTAAAACCACGATAGAGTGCAAATCATGAAAAGTTTAAAATTTGCAGATTATGTCTCATAGTGACATCACCAGACGTTGTTACAGCCTGGAATTAAATCTCTAGGATTCGATCGCATCGGGTTCGTTTTTGAAGTCTTCGTCTTCCTTGCTACATGTACCCATACGTCAGGTTTATTATATTAGATTTAGGTGTGACCGGTTCAAAACGCGTCTATATGTCCGTCAGTAGGCCTGTTATACTATTAGTTAGACAAGGCTCCTGCTAGTGGTAGGTAAGGAAAGTTTTGTCGTTTGGTCTTTTTTATGTAAAGACAAGGAGAACGCTCAATATAATATGTGCATAACTTAGTTTCTTCGTCTCAAATATGAACATAAGACGTGAAACAGGTGCTCAGCTATTGTCCCTCTCGGTCTGAGTATCCATCGGAAGAGACCGAAATATACAGTTGAAGCGAACGCACATACTATTTGCGTTTATTTCTCTTTACATACAAAATGAAAAAAAAAAAATAGACAAAATGTCAATTCTCATCTACCACTTGGGATTTTTCCGTTCCACCCTCTCGATAGAGGGCTTGTTATGTACTGAGATGTCCAGGTCTTCTGAGACCGCTACGATACGATTAGCAGATTAGGTCACATTAGCAATGACTCAGGAGTATTACTCTGATAGATAAATAGGAGTGCGATCGAAAACCAATATGCACTGTCAATCTGTCTATCTATCTATCTATCTATCAATCTATGTAAAGTACTGCCAACCTCGATGGGTCAATCTTGGTCAGCGTAGCATCGAAAATCGGAGTTATCCCCTTTCTGCCTCCTAAAAATCGGCATCACAAGCCAAACGAGACCAAACCAGCAGTTTCCCACCCCCGACTTTCTGTATTACGAAGGAAATCCTTGTTATTTATAAAGATTTGTCTCACTTTTCGCTCGAAAATATGTTTTATTCTTGTATCCAGGATTAGCAAAAATCCCAACATTAACACATTTTGAGCGCATACAGAACAAGCTGATCCGCAGACTAACTGATCCGCGGATCAAATATGACCGACCCACCTAAAAGCAATGGCGACTTATCCCCTGATGGTCTCCCCGCCTCCATACGCGCCGTCCCTGCAGGGGCCTTGGAATTAAACCACGGAGCCGGGGTTTAATCCGTTTATTGGCGCGTGTGGAGGCGGGGAGACCATCAGGGATTAGACGGGTTGCTTTAAAGAGAGGTCGGCTATATTTTGTCTGCGGAGCATCTGTTCTAAATGCGACATTTGGCGAATACCGGATCAGCAAAATCCTGGATTCACCAGAACATAATGAAAATTTCAAACCTAGTTCCTAAGCATAGGAGAGAAAAGATTCACGACCCTCTAAAGAATTGCAAATGGTACCAAATCTTTCCTTTCAGTATTGCATGTAAACGGTGAGTCAAGGTCTCTCGCCAGCTTTTATGACATCCTCCACATTTTATAATAAGAATTTAGACTGCTAACACTGTAACTAAAGCTCTCAACGTAGGCCCTTAGGTTATCATTAAGTAAATACATGAATGTCTATTTGATGTTATTGATATACATCCCCTTTACTCCATAAAGCGTAGGTCACACGTAGGGACAAGCCACACGGAGATGAAGGAATGTTAAACAAAATGGCAAATTCACACCCTGATCCCCTGAAATTCAGAGGCTATAAAAGGAACATATCTCATTAGCTTTACTGTAAAGATATAGAGAAGGCAATTTCAGACATTTTCTAGCCTGGAAGGTGCGTTTGTGTAGGTGTGTGTGTGTGAGTGTGTGTGTGTGTGTGTGTGTGTGTGGGTAGGTTGTAGCGGAGTAAACAGAAAAAAGAAAAATGCCATTTCCTTATCTAGGGGTGCGTTCAGATAAACCCATCATACAAGCTGGATCGATCGCGAGATTGTCCCTAAGTGCAATCACTGTAATTGGCCTAGATGTCTGACACGGCTCCTCGAATTCCTAGGGGGTAATTAACTTATTGACACGCTACTGAAGGTGGCGTGTCAGACAATTCAGCAGATTACACTGAATGCAATTAAGCGAGAATCCCCCCCGCATAGTTGGATCGATCCAGCTGGTACGATGTTTGAATCTGAACGCGTTCTATAACTCGGAGTGACAGGAATGTATGGCAGTCCTAGGAATGAAATCCGGGGTCCCATATAATTAGTACAGTTTAGGGCTAGTTGGATTATAGGGTAATAAGTGTATAGGGCGAATGGCACCTAAAGGCTACAGAGTTATGGGGAATGGACAACGGTTCCTGGTGCAGACTACCATTGCTGTCATACCTGATCCGCAATCAATGTTGAATTGTGATAGAGATGATCCGATTTGAAGGGACAGCATACAAACCTGGCATCGTCTAAAATTTTACCGATATTTATTTAGATTTAGAGGGTTGTAAATTTTGAATGAATATTTATTTTAATTACGTTACACCTAAATTGAATGGTGCAAGAGAATGTTTCACTGTTCTTTTTTCTTTCACTTTTTAGCGTTAAAAATGGACCTTTACTCCGACGTTTTCCTTTCAGGTTGACCACATACAATGTATTAGGACTTCTGGGGACAGAACTCACGCCTGTCTCACCTGTCACAATACAGTGTCACCACCACACGTTTTATTTACCTGTACTGCGACACTGCTCAAGTTAAAAGTAGGTCAACAGACGCCATGACCGTATTCAAAACAGGTAGCTGAACGCCAGTCGAACACAGAAGAGATTTTTTCACGGATATCAATATCAAGAGGGATACAGACCTAACACCTATAAAATGCAGGTAAGAATCATCATCATTTCTACTTTATGCTCAAGTATTAGCACAAATTATTCGACAATACAAGTGAGTGGCACAAGTATAAAGTACTGACTCTTGTATTAGTGAGCCATTCACTGTGTTAACATACTAGTAACAATGGCTTACATAAGAACCATGATGGGGTTTGTTAGCGTTCTCTTTGTCTTTGACTGTCTACCGACGTCATGTATTACCCGTATCTCATCTGTCACGGTTTTAGTATTGATACCTAAAAGCACTATCCTGATACACGTACTCGGTCTATTCCAGGCCCGTAGCCAGCAAATTCAAAAGGGGGATTCTTTTTCTGAATAAGTGGACCTTTTACAATGAAACTTATGTGTACCTACATAAAATTTTACCCAAAATGGACCTTTTCCTGAAAAAAGGGGCAGTTCTTTCGAACCCCCCGAACCCCTCCCCCCCTGGCCACGGGCCTGTATTCCAACCTCTGTTATGTGCTAGTAGGAACATGTACATGTACCTCGTATGCATGTCCGAAATCTGAGGCAAGAGCAGGGAGGGATAAGAAAATTAAGATGCCGTAGTGTTTGGGACAAATCTGCTTAACCAACTACATAAAGCATGCTTTTATGGGGTTATGAGAGTGTCTTACCCCCTTGATGAAAGAGACTACTTCCATGCTAAGACCGGAGTGGGGTTTGATGAGCACCCCCTCCCCCAATATCCGCCTGGAGATCTAAGACCGTTCCAACCATCAGGTGTAGATTATTAGAAATTCAACACTGTATAGATAAGCTATTCCCACACCTGAGGACTCCAACACATTTATGGTCCAAAAACGTCTAGAACTAGAACTGGTACTACCAAATCCCTTGAATGTCAACTTTAATAGTTTGAAGCATAACGCTTCAGACATCAGGGGTGAAATCCCAGGGGTAAAAGGCAGGTGATGATGTCCACATTTACAAACGTCTAGTACATTTAAAATGTTTTATTCTTGTTTTGGTTGCTGAGAATTTAATAGACGTATTACTATCACGAACGTATTGTCACAGGGCTTTATCAGACTATATGCTACAAATTAAATCTACTAGCTTAATGTTTTGCCTGGCAATGTCATCCAAACCTTAGTTAGGTCGGATATCTGAACTTGTATAAAAAATAACCACTAAGCATCCTTTATTCCAGCATAGCGCCACACGTCATGACTCCGTGACAAGCACGTGACAAACAGGATAAACGAGATTTGAGACAACACGGAGAAATATTCGCCTTGTTCAAGAGAGAATGATGACTTCGCCTAGTAGTGTGAATCTTGCGCTTATATGGCTTCTCTGCTGTTTCACCACACAAGCGGTGAACAGGCCAGATAGAAGTAAGTTAAGGCTTAATTAGTAACCCTGAGTTTCAGGCTTAGATGGGAACCGTTCTATGAACCAATATGCGCGCGCTGTGTCTGTTTGGTGCTGAAATTCAGGGTAGCTAAGATGGCTCTAGTCAACCGCTTTATCTTCTGAAAATGTACTGTGTTTTGTCCTACACATCATTTTATACTATTTTATAGAAATACATTATTGTGTCGTTTTCTATTTATCGTAACAACATTAAATAAAATTGTAATTCTAGGTTAATATCAATTTATAGCATTGTTGTAAAGGCATCTCCTAAACAGCAAAGATCTGCAGCAAGGTGTTTGATGGTGAAAACTAATCAACATTTCCTTTCAGCATTTTACATGGACAATTCACAACAACAGTGTGGAGACAGGGACTATTTTGTCTACAACGAGGTGAACACCGTCCAGCTGTGGAGTCCTGACAAAACCACAATCGTCCAGCGCACAAGCGCGGAGGAATGCGTACTTCGGTTTTCGGCGTTGCCGAATTCCCGCGTTCTTCGGGTGACGTTTCCGGAGATAATGGACTTGCCGTGCAATATAGGAGTCACCCTGACTTTCTACGATGGAAATGGAGTGCAGACTGATATACTGGTAATGACATCATTCGGCCCATCTCGGGTGATTCCGTACCTAATTAACATAATTATATGCACGGAATGAGCAGTCCATATTGGATTTTCGATTCATGAATTAAAGAAAAATATAAATTCCTAATAACGAATATAATCAAAGGAAAAAGGGTCAGTCCTCTCAGTTGGGTTTTCTTTTATCTATGTGTGCACTTTTTCTCGCCTTTTCCCCTTCACATTTTACTTCAAAAACACATTGAGTAACTTAAATTGCTTAAAATTGAAAGCATAAACTCGCAGTTTCATTTTATTGTTTTCTTATAATTAGGGGACGGGTCATTTTTGCACACCTGATAATACACCATCTGAACCATGTTCTCAAAGTTACATATTTCACATTGAAAATTTCACGTTTTATCTTCATGTATCCAAGACCAAGCCCTCAAACAAGCCGAATGTGTCAAATTGAATTTATCTTTCAGAAAACAATCTGTGGCAACTCAAAACCGCAAGATCTCCTGGCTACCGGTTCTCACCTGGCCGTCAAACTGACCAAGATATCCGTACCTGCCACGGTGGACACCAAGTTCAAATTTCAAGTTGCTCAGTTGACAGATGACACTAATCCAGCAGTGGGACAATCGCCATGTAAGTAGAAATCACATACACACACACACACACACACAATAATAATAATATATGGAATGTAATATATGGGATGGGTAACACTAACAAAATATACAGAGCTTTACAAACTATGATTTTTATACGGAAAGAAAAAACGAAGGAAAACTGCTACTGGAGATACAGTATTAACCAAAAAGAATCCTTAACAACTAACACTGACGAGGAACATACCTAGTTTAAAAAAACATTAGTCTAGGAAGAGTGGGTGTAAAAGAGTACATTTGTTTACCTTTTATTTGCAGTTTACATGGATAATCTAGAAAAAGAGTGCGACCAGACGTACACCCTCCAAACCGATGTGCAATACATGGTGCAGGCATGGGGTACCCAGGAGAGGACTAGACCGTAAGTATGATTTAAATAAATAAATAAATAAAGAACAAAATAAAGAAATAAATAGGAGAGGACTAGACTGTAAGTATAATTTAAATAAATAAATAAATAAATAAATAAATAAATAAATAGGAGAGGACTAGACTGTAAGTATAATTTAAATAAATATATAAAGAATTAAATAAAAAATAAATAAATAGGAGAGGACTAGCCCGTAAGTACAGGTTAAATAAATAAATGAATAAATAAATAAATGAATAAATAAAACTTCTTCCAAAACGCTGACTTGCATAACAGATATCAACACATTTGCGTGTTAATATTTTCACACACGTCAAAGTAAAGTACACTGATATCAACATATGAGCTTCTGTGATCTACTGAGAGTCCAAAAACCTTGTCATTTAGTTTACAAAATTAATATCAGACTGTTTTGAATTACACCACAGTTTTTATTTTCAGGGCTGGCGATAAATGCCAAATGTCTTTCAAGTCTATCTATGAAACCATGCAGCTTCGTGTTCACTTTACTCAGTTCATTTCCCCGTGTACGACAGGGCAGGCGGTGCTCTATTTCTACGACAGCCGGGACCAGACTGCAGAAATGGTGAGAAGGACATTTGACCCAACCCATCTCCATATCGGACCCTTAAGTGCCATGAATTTGAAATATTACTTGAATCTGGCCTCTATCATCAGCAATTAAAACGAAAGTGGCTTGTTAATATAAGGGGACTCTAAAACGTATACAAAAACAATAGTTAGGCCTAATAAATAAATAAAATATGATTTTGAAGCAGTGGACACTTTGGCGAGAGTGCAATAACTGAGGTTGGTTTGAAGTAATCTTTGAAACCCAGTGTGGTCCTAGGATGAACTAAACTGAATAATCCTCAAGCATATTATTTTCCTTGAAAATATAAAAGAAAATGGGCATGTGTTTAAGAATATCCTTTTAACTGCAAAGTAAAATTTGTGCTCAGTCTCGCTATCAGTTAGCAGTAACCATATGACATTTTCTATGAAGGCCGTAATTGATATTTCAGAGACGTTATACGTGTAGATCTCAAGTTCCAGCAGGAATCGTCACTTCCGGCCAGTATCTGACCGTGTTACTGGACCGCCGTGGTAGCACGGAGTTTGACTTCAGTTTTAACGTGTCTATAGTGAACGAGGAGAGCACAATGGCCACACCCACTGCTTTACCGGGATTTGTGACGCGTGAGTGTCCACTAACTCGTATTTTAATTTGCCGCTGTTCATTAAGACAAAGATAAAGAATCTAGAACTTAAAAAGGACAAATGATAAGGTAAAAGTGACTGTTTTCTAGAGGTTTTCGCCAATGATTTTATGTTCCCCTTGACAGTCTTTGAATATTTTTGTCAAATATTCTGAATTCATTTAATAATTAATTGCGTTATATTTTACACATTTCCTTTTCATTTCGCACAGATTATTTCAGTCGTCCATCTCACTGCGACACTAGAATCTCTCTCACTGCTGTAAGCCAGAACCACCTTCGTGCATGGGCGCCAGGTGCGAGGACTGATTCTCTGGCTCCTCAGGATTGCGTCATGACGTTTCACGCGCAGCCAGATCACGTGATCTACGTGCACTTTGAGGAGCTGAGCATGCCGTGTGACGGACGGCCGAAACTGACTTTTTATGACGGAGGGGATAAAAGCAAAGCGCTGGTGAGTTTGACAGAGAGAAACGCGGAGATATGTCTTGTGAAAATGTGTGAAAGGACTATGTGCCACGCAGTGATTTGGTATCAGAATAATGCTAAAGGAGAACACAAATTGCATACAGATATTCATATGCACGAAGATAGGCCTACATGAAGTTGTATGGACATTCTTGTAACTGATGCCGCTTGGAACGATATCTTAAAGGGATTGGAAAATAGTAATATGATGCTCAAAAGCGTATCGGCTGTTCAATTAAATATTCAATCGTTGTTTTCAAGTAGATTAAATCAATTACTGTACGTTGATAAAGTTAGATTACATCAACATGGCTTTATATTTAAATCTGTTTTGTTTTCAGATGGACATATTCTGCAGCTCAACGCCGCCTGAGGATTTCAGGACCACGCAGCAATACCTGACTGTACAGCTACAGCGACGGAACAACACGGCTCTCGACTTCGCTGTGCTTATTTCACAGGAGACCGCGGACACCGGTAAGCAACATAAATTTGCCATACAATATACTTCCAACTATAAACAGTTGAAATGGAAATTTTATTGCATGTGCTGGGAAGCAAAAGGCACAAGAAAATGAGGATATTTTTATCTTTATTTGTTAAAGAAATGTCTTACTGCTTTATTGTGAAGTCCCGTTTGCCACCATGGGCGCTTCGATCATCTAGCACTTATTGTGGAAATGATATGTATTGTGTCAAGTTTAGTTTTTTTCTATTCTTTTATCATCCCTCTATATACGTAGTGTCAAAATTTATTTTGGTATGTGTGTTTGTGTAGTAGTAGTAGTAGTAGTAGTAGTAGTAGTAGTACTAGTAGTAGTAGTAGTAGCAGGGGCGGATTGAGACCGTCTTCTGGAAGACTTTTAAAGTTTACATTATCTGTTTTTTCTGTTGGAAGACCAACAAAAATGGAGGATGGATCAACAAAGATAATTTGGAATACTGTCAGAAAATATCTCTGGATCCGCTCCTGAGTAGTATTTTCATTGTAAGTATAAAATCTGAAGACTAGAACGTCATTTTTTCTCTCCATTTGTTTCAGGTGGTCTAGGTGCCGGTGCTGTTGCAGCCATAGTCATCGTATTACTGGTCATCCTAGCAGCAAGTGCTGTCGCTGCTGTGCTGGTACTCAGAAGAAGAAAAATAAAAAAGGAAAACTCATCCCTAGATAAAGGGGACACCACAGGTATTTTACACAAACATTTTTAAATTTCCAACCAAAACCTCTCAGAATTAATCTATAAATTAACTTTTTATTTTTTTAATTTATTTTATTTTTAATGAGTTTTATGCTATAATTTTTTGCAAAAATGGCCATTTCATTTTTTTAAAATTATTGTTAGTATTTCGTCGACTGTTTGCATTTAAAAACAATGCTAAGGGTCGCCCACAATGTAATTTCGCTGCAATATGTAGGAATCTCGTTCTATCTTACTTTGCATCAACTACTATACACGTAGACTAGTTTGTCTACTTCATGGTTGCTACATGTGATTAAAGGGGGCGGAGGCTTTTTTATCAGTGTAAAGCGAGTGTAGTGATCGATAAGCATGGCTATACTATTGAAAACATTTGATGAAATTTATGAAATTAAATTCTTGTCTTACATTAGCGGGAGTGGAATGTAGATGATTCGCGAAATAATCAAAATTATGCTTCAAAATCTGTTTTGGTAGATTGTTTGAGTGTTTTGATAGAAAGGACATTGTTACACTTTAATAAGGACAAAGCACCAAATACTGCAATTAAAGTCCATTATAAATCTAAAATTTTCGTCCACAATATCACCCTCCTCACCCCGAAACTTTTAGCCAACCTGTATTGATAATCAAGGGTTGCTCATTGACGAGTTGGTCATGATTTGGTTACTGGGTTTCTATTTGCCTGTGCATCTCTCTCTCTTTCTTTCCTTCCATCTTGCAGCTACACAGGAGATCGGGGTAAACAATCCTGCTTTTCGGCTTTCGAACAGTTCTGAGGCCATAAACCACACCGACCCCCTTTCATCTTATCCTGAACCCCCAGAGAGCGAGGAAACGCGAGATTCCACGTGACATTAGTTGCTAGGCACGTTTACAACATCTAGTAGATGTGTGCTTTTCGAAAATGCGCTTGCAATACCTGCCTTTGTTTTGTTGTCTGCTTGCCATGTGTGGCTAGTTTCTGTAGGTGTGGTTTCTGTGATATGGATAATGAATTCTGTCATTTTTCACTGTGTATATCTATATCTTTTCAAAGCAATAATGTTATTTTTTATTTACCATATAATTGATTATAAATAATTAATACATGGAATGTGGTATTTAATCACTGTATTATGTTACTAGTTACATTAAATGTAACTAAATTGAGATATTCTTCATTTATTTTACGTTATTTTTTCCATTTCTAATCCAGGCCAGGGACTCCTAGAGATGGACGTTCCCACTGGAGAAAATGGCACTTCCGACGATGTACCAATGAAGGATATGACCAGAATATGACGTAGTAAGACATGATGTCTAATAAATAACTAATATACCAGATTACAGGAGTAGGTCAGCCTGTTAAAAACTGATACCACAAGCGATTGGCATTATCAGAGTATGAGACAATAGCACTATGAAGTGAAAACAAAATGAATTACAAACTATATTGAATATTCTGTGATATATCTTTGTCTGGAGAGAATGGTCTCTAAGGACAACCCGCTGTCCACTGTACAAGATGTTTAAATAGACACCAAAACGATTTGTCGCTATGTGAGGAAACCATTGTGTTAGCGCAGCCAATCTGATCACGTCAAAGATCGGACTGAAATCCATAAGTGCTACACGGAAACGCCACAGACGGCAAAACTAACCAATTTGCAAGTGCCCTAAGAATTTGTCAGCCCTGACATGGATAGCTGCACTGTGCGCTTCGTTATCATATCATATACTGGTGTGTTGCGATGTGTAGAATAGGTATACTTGTTTCAGGAGACAATTTTTGAACGTAGAAACCAGCATATGTATGCTTGTGTTGCAGCCATAATGAATCTGCTTGCTTTTAACGGTAAATCTCCCTGTATGTTATTTAAACCCTAACGTACTCGTTAACGTGACAAAACTCACATTAGTCGCACAATTTTTGTAAATCGAGTATTTAAGACTTTATCACTATGCTTGGCTGAAGATACTGTCACAATATATAACTGAACTGGTGAATTTCGATCTCACTTTGCTCAATGTGTAATTTGAAAAATTCAAATAAAAATTTATTTTACAATTGACGTTTTCATTTCATGATTACAAGAAATCGACTTCACAACTGATATTCCTTGACGTGGTGCAGACGCATCACATACAGCCTGGTTAAAACATTTCTCGTCAATCATGGGGCTGTTAATGCCCACCTCCTATTGATTTGGACAATATGCTTTTTCAGGTTTTTAGTTGTATTTCAGTACTCTAAAAACTAAGTTATTTCGATGCTTGATGTCCGTATACCCGAAAGTCCTCGTTTAGAGGTTAACATACCCATGCTCCGTTAACACTAATTTTATGCAAATAAAAAGTAAAGTAATTTTTCCATTAATTTTCATTATTCAACTAAAACAAAGTCTCTTTGAAATGAATACATCACAAATAATAATTTGATAGGCAAATGGGGCGAAGTTCTTAACAATAATACATCAAAAAACAGCTTTTTATCACGTTTTCTGTACTTTTCTGTTGAAATAAACTTCCCCGACTTCATTCAACTTAATGTATTAAAACACATTTTGGGGGACTTAATGTGTTTTGTTTGGTTCGAAAAAATAAAATCATTTCTTGCAATTAGGTGCTATTCAATAATAGAAAACGTATTTATGTAGTCAAATGTTTTGCTCAAAAGTAGATAAGACAAAGGTCCATATGGCTGAAAATTGTCATTTATTAATAAAGAATAGTAGCTTGATACAAAGTCGTAAAGGATAATCATAAAATCCCCCTACAATTTAAATACCATAATATATAATCACTAAAAAGGATGATGAATGAATAAACATTAATAAGATAAAACATGTAAACCAAAACCTACTGGAGCAAAAAAAGTTGGCACAAATGAAAGATTGTCCCAAATATGTTGACATAAGTAGCATATGGCAAAACAGGCATCGCTGAGGCATGGTGTAAATCATCCAAAAGAAACAAAAATATTTGAGAAATATCCATATGAACGTGCAGCCACCAGGTAAAGAGATGAATCGTCAATTCCACGTAAAATTTCAATAGTAAGTAAGCGATAAAGTGTAGCTGATAAAACTGTCTACGTAGACCACTAGGGGACTATGTGAGAGAACTTCACCGCAGCTGACTGCCCAGTTATAACAATGACCTTAACAATTAACCCAAATGTGTGAGCTCAATGCCCTTGTTGCCTGTTAATACAGTGCCCCGGTCAACTATTAAATAAGTCAAAATGTGCAGACACACCCCTTAAAATAATGCTATCCCTTATATACATAACGTTTTAAACAAAACTTTCTTACATAAACGCAATTATTCACCATAATTCACCATAACTTTTTCTGTGATAAAAAATCGCCTAATTGCCTTCAGATAGGGACCTATTTACAGCTCAAAATTTCCCAAGCGTACAACGTAGTGATGAGCAATGTTGAAAATACCATAAAACACGGGTTAGACTTTGATATAGCTAAAAATTAAATTCCTTCAAATCATATCTTTTTTTCTTAATTGCTAAGATATACCTTCTCCAAGTCGTTGAGAAAATTACGATCTTTAAGCCCCTTTTAAGTAACCGAATAAATATTTTCAACTACGGGTGAAATTCACCAATCTCCACATTTTATTGTGAGAGGTAACCCAAATGTTTAAAAATCAGAACTCAAAGGGTTATACTTGTAATTTTGTCAACGGTTGTTGGTTTAATATATTCTGGTTATTTAGAGAAATCAATTAAAAGTTGCAGATATATATTCCTCCCGATAAATTTCCAAATAAATTGTTGCTTTATGCAAAGTCTAAGGGTGTTTTCCAGAGATTTAGATCGATCTAAAGATTAAGATTTAGATCGCCCTATCTCCCTGGGGGTTCACGCTAAATTGCAGTCAGCCGAGCGGGCACCATAGTTAATTACCCCCTTACAGCTTTTAGTAGGCGGGACAGACGCTTAAGCCGGCCAAGCTGACAGTAATCTAGTGAGACTCCCCACAGGGATAGATCGATCTAAAAATCTATGGAAATGGGGTGTATCGTCCACTGTTTGGGAAATGCTAATTGAATAACTTCACTCCAACCTATACAGTCAATGCAAACATCAATAGAAATTACGACACAGACATTTGAAATAAATCCCAAATAAATACATAAATAAGCCAGAGAACATTTTTCAAATTCCCCAGCGACTTTTCTGAAGATATGACATCTATAGGTTTGCCCGGTACAACAACATTATGTACATTCATTGGATTCATCAAAATAACTTCAAACTGCTTTATCAAAAACACACTTTCACATGAAACACTTACTAGTATACCATAGGTTGCATAGAAACCAGGTTCTGTTTCAGGTTTGATTGATGAATTGACTTAGTACTTATTATATAATGGGGTTTGACGCAGTTGTTAAAAAGTAGAAAACATTTACCAAACCACGACGGTCCACGAGGTAGGTGTCAATGTTAACTGCCCTGATTGAAATCGCAAAAAAGAAACATGAACTGTAAGAGAGACAAAACTGTGAAACAATAAACAGTTAAATACATCAATGCACACGTAAACGGCAAAATTAATTCTAAAACACTGCAAAACATTAACTCATGTAAAATACGATACAAACATACAAACTTACAAGAATTATCGGTATATTAAAAGGCAATTTCTGTCGTCTAGACGAACGAAATAGATTGATATTTGGCTAAAAGAAACTGAAAAAAAATTGATGAATTGACATTCGGTCATAAAGGACCCTGCTCTAAAGGAATGTGTTGCAAAATAGGAATGTACGATGAAGTTTTAACTAATCAATTTTTGAAAAAAAAAAAAAAAAAAAAAAAGGTCAGGGGGAAAAGGAGAGGCATATCCCTTTACCTTCCCACTAACCAAAAACAAGATGTTGGATTCAGCCCCGACGCCTTCTTAAAAGAAGAGAAATGGACATATAAGGAACAAAGAAACAGTGGCGGATTTAAGGGGGGTCGGGGGTCCTGCCTACCCACCACCCTTCGATTTCCGAAAAAAATCACACCAATGGTCCCCTCTTGGAATTTTGACTAGCTGAATTATAGTTCTAAACCGTACCAGATGGTACCGTTCGCCCTCTAAAATACCTAAAAGTTTCGGAGCCCTTCAGCGGGCCCTGAAATCCACGCCAACGGACCCCCTTCAACTAATTCTGGATCCGCCCTTGAAAGACACATGATTTCTGTATTCATATATGCACAAAAATTAAAATGTACCAAATCTTATTAGGAGCAGAAGGAGAGGGTGGAGTCGTTTTTCCAACTACCTTGGGGCACGTTTAAAAATAGTCTGGTTTACTCCAATGGAGAAGAAAGAGGTTGTAATTAAACGTAGGGGTTGTCCATCTAAAACAACCTATATAACTTCATGTGAAATTGGTCCTAAATTTTGGTTTACAATGACTACTACGTATTTATCCCGCACAAAAGAACACTTAAAATGTCCTTATGATAGTATAGACCAACGTATGTTTTATTTCGAAACCCGTATAAGAGCCACCGGCGGGAGTGAGTATGGGAAAATGATTTTTTTTTTACTGAAAATACATTTGATGCCACAAATTTGCAAGTCTTTGCTGATCCTGATCTGGTGGCAAATATATACCACTGCAAAAGGCCATCAGGGCTTTTTCCAACTCCTTGTTCTTCTTTGTCGTCAGATCCCTTTCTTCTTCTGCTACTTTTCTTTTATTTGCTTCCTCATCACATTTCTTTCTCCAGGCTTCAACTGCTTTGATCTTGTTTTCATCATCAATCTCCAACTTATGGATCCCATTACGGCACTGCTTCATGGACCCGTCATCTTTTTCCTCTGTCTGTATTCCACCATGGCACTGCTTTATACACCTGTCATCTGGTTTTTCTGTCTGTGTTCCAATCTGGTACTTCTTCATGGACCCGTCATCTGTTTCTTCTGTCTCTGTTCCACCATGGCACTTCTTCATGCACCCGTTATCTGGTTCTTCTGTTTGTGTTCTGCCATGGCACTTCTTCATGCACTCGTCATCTGTTTCCTTTGTCTGTGTTCCAATCTGGTACTGCTTCATGCACCCGTCATCTGTTTCTTCTGTTTGTGTTCCAATGTGATACTTCTTCATGCACCTGCCATCTGTTTCCTCTGTCTGTGTTCCAATATGGTGCTGCTTCATGCACCCGTCATCTGTTTCTTCTGTTTGTGTTCCAATCTGGCACTGCTTCATGCACCCGTCATCTGGTTCTTCTGTTTGTATTCCACCATGGCACTTCTTCATGCACCCGTCAACTGCCTCTCCTGCCTGTTTTCCAATTTGGCACTGTTTCACCACATTTGTTTTTTCTGTCTGTGTGGACTCGCTTGAGGTTTCAGAGCCGACCTGGATGCCGCTTTCTTTGGATGCGACTTCCACCTGCACTTCTTCATCAACGTGCACGGGTCTGTTGCCAATGATGGGGTCTTCTGGAGAGATGTGGGTAGAGATATCGTGAGCGTCAGGGGTCGCTTGAATCTCAGAATCGGTTTGCTGCAACTTTGTCTGAACTATTTGATTGATGTACATTCTTGATTCTGTCTGCACCACGTTCTCTACAGTTTTCGGCTTTCTGTCTGTCTGAAGGGAAAACATCTGTTTGAGGTCGTCTTTTGTTGCTGCCTGTTCCTGGTTTTGCTTCAAGGTAGCGATTACTGCGTGCATCTTCTTAAATTTTTTCGCTGTCCCAGAGTTCATAATTTTCATGTCACGGCGAACACAGCCATAATAAAGGTCCTGTAAATATCAGAGCACACGTCAATTATGGCCAGAACACGTTTGTTTATTTTTGCATGCACAATGTATACTATTATTTCTCTAAAAATGATAACATATTTAAAAACTTTTCACAAAAATTTGATTTGTTACTGCGTGAGCAGTTGAAACATACTTGAGAAAACACGTTTGGGAATTTGAGTTAATAAAGAGATTTTAAAATGTTGGTTATCATCGCCTTTTACACTCAATAGTTAGAGACGCCATGTGGATTTTTTTAACAATGCAAAAGAAGGCTTTAAATCACAGTCAAACATACCATTTTGGCCTCTATCCCCCCTACTCGAGCTGAAATTAAAAAGAAAAAAAGCAGGGAGGTTCAGTTGGCCATTTGAATGCAAATTCCAAATACAAAGTTTACATCGCCTCGTGTTGAATATGCACTCATACAGAGATGCGAATTCTCTACGCGAAGAGATGTGAATAATTTAAAGAATGAACGTCACTTTTTCAATCGTTAACCTCATCAATTTTGAGACACAGGGATTTCTGAAACAGAGTCTCATAAGGTGGACCTCAGGCGTACTACTCTATGTAATTACACACCAGTGTATAAAAATCTTCAAAAGTTTACACAAGACTTACATGTACATTCATGACCTGACTTGGACCTTTCCTTTCTATTCGATTTTTTTGGTTGCTTTATCTTTGCTGAATGGACAGTCCTCTTTGAATATCTTGCCCCGACATTCCGACTGTCCAAACCCACTTCTTCACTAGTACATTTCCTCAAAGAATAATCGGACTCGTACGCTGTTGATTCATCACCATCGTAATCTGCAGCTGGTTGGTAAACATTTTATGGATCAAAATACCATATACAACAACCAAAACAAAAAACCAAAGATCAAGCGTGATTTTATTATTAGCGTTAAAAAGTTCATATTTTGTTTTTTAAAATACCAATTTTCCTCAAAATGCCAACTTAATGTGACAACAACGTCTACCTGTCACAAATCCCTTAATGGAATATTTATATACCATCGGTGAAAAAGGTTGCCTCACATCCGACTCCATGTTTTTTAGTCGAACTTGAGACTTCCAGAGTTCACCCCACTAGCACCAAATCTGGCTTTCGTAATACGTCACAAACCAACAGTAAAACAATCTATATCAATGAACGAGAAAAAAACTCACCACAATCAAAACAGTCTTTTCCTTTGTTTTCGATTCCTGTAGCAGTTGTTTGCTCGTTCGGTGGATGGATTGCATGATATGAAGCTCCTGAACGAGAGAGTGTATCCATGAACAAATGTATATAAAATGGCGTATAGAAATCGTTATCTCATTTATACCAAAAAAATGACTAAACATGCATGGCTTCTTGTCTACGTCTAATGTGGAAGACATGGTGACGTAAATCTTTCTTTTATATGAATATTTCACGATCAGAGTTGTAAATGTGAAAATGAGAGCAAGAGTGTTCCACCTTCCGTACTGCATGTATAATATATCTGGTATGAACGCTTATGTATACAGTATAAATATATAACGACACACTATGCAAACGAAATCAGTTGTTGTGTAAGCCCAGGCCGTATAGATCTTCATTTTGCAATTATGCGGCTCTGCCAAATAATCGCATTATAATGCTCTTATGAACTCAATTATAACAAGAATAAAAAGTTTTACCACTTTCTAGAGGTTCCTTTCCTCCCGTGCCTTCTATTTTATCTTCGGAAACATCTGAATAATAAGATGATATTCATTCCATTACTATTTTGCTGTGACTACAAACAGTTAATTCTCAAAAAGAGGGTTGCAATATGCCAATCTTCAAATTAATATCTTTAATCAATTTTAGACAATTTTAATCTTTTAATGCTGCGCATAACTGACCAAGATATACAAACATATTGTATATCAATAAAAAGCTTATTTCAACAGCTATTCATTCCATATCATTTTATATTATTATGTGATCGTTACATAAGGAGATATAACGCTTAAAAGGTTGTCTTAGTCAGTTTTTCATACCCTAAAAACTAAAAGCCCACTACATATGTACAATTCTATTTCAAAGATACCCCCGATCATCACTTTAACACTGGTAGTTTGAAAACAGAGCGGATATAATGAAATCCCAGGAGCATTCTGTAAAACAAAGCTTATATTTAACGAATAAATTTTGGGTTGAAGGTTCTCATAAGTTTTGACGTTGGTTTAAATCTTTCTTTTAGAAAACCTATATAGCGTTATATCTCTATACGTAAGCATACGTAATAAAATAAATAAAATAAATAAATAAAAGGACAATGTTCATGTAAAAATCCATTTCTCGAATTTTGAANTAATGATATGAAATAAATAGTTGTTGAAATAATGTTTTTATTGATATGCCACGTGTGTATCTTGGTCGGTTAAAGAGATAGCCATATTCTTGGCACCCCCTGTACGCAACCTTAAAATGACACATAATGGAAATTCTGTTGCAAACTTGCTAGACAAGGACACTTCTTGAACAAAGTCAAACTATTCTGTCGACCTACTCTTGTTTTAAACTTGATACACACAGATACTATAGTATCGTCATCTGAAAAAATAACCTTGGGGTTATCAAGGTAAATTATAACATTGGTCAAATATTTACCATCATTTACAGGTTCTGTTCTTTCTGTGCCTTCTCTTGCAGATTCAGGTGCAACTAGATAAAGAGATGATATTCATTTAAGAAAGAAGACTTTTGTCTTCATCTTACCGTCAATAATTGCATGATCTCGTGGATCATGTACTTTTAAAAACCAGTGATGGAAAGATCATCTCCAGTACTAGCAATCGCGTTTTATGTATCTACCAAGCATGCTAGATTCATAGGAGAAATCTGCAAGCTAAAAACTGTCGATACCAAGACTGATGGAGACAAGGGCGAAACTGACTGGTGAGTACAGGCTATCTCTCAGAATTTGTCACGATCGCTAACAATTTTTTTGTTGTTTTTTTAAATCATAGACGACTCATCACAGTTTATGCGCTACATGTGTCCATGTGTCACCAAATTAATTAAACAATGGAAATCATTTCAAATTAAGGCTACCTAACACTGAAAAAAGAAATATAAAAAAGAAACGTTCAAGGCTGATAATTCATATTAAGTCTACCTAGCATGTCAGAAATTTGGATTAAAATATTTTCCTCAAAAGGACTGCAATCATCCCAATTATATGCCACAGCGAAAAAAGAATCAAATTAAACAAAGTGGACTGTATATAAATCAGATTTTACCGTCATTCACAGATTCCTTTCTTTCTATATCTTCTCTTCTTGATTCAGATGCAGCTGAATATAAAGACACATTTGAAAACATTATCTTAAATTACGTAACTGCACAAACAAGATAGCAAAGCTGGTTAGTAACATTCACATATTAGTGTTTACGTCAGTGGAATTCACATTAAGCAATTTTTTTCAATCAATACGACCTTTAAATATTTTTTTAAAATCTGCCCTTCACATAGTTATCATAGAAACTCTGTTCTTACCGCCTGGGTTATTAGCACTGCCACCGTCTTCTTCATTCAAAGTAAGTGGTCGTGGGAGTGACATTATTTGTTGATCACCTGGAAAGGAAAAGACAAATTATAATTATTTATTTATTTAGTTCTGGAGTCGAACTAGTGTCACCCTTGGACATAAAAATGTCCACGTGTCACCAAATTAATTAAAACCGCCAACTGTGAGACGTAAGACGTATTTCACCATAACAAAGGTACCCTTCTACATCTCAGACGTGGAATTCACAGGTGAATAATTGGACATACGTAGAGTCACATTTCAGACCAGGAACCGCATGTAACAGATCAGTACTAGTTTGGCAAATACGAAAGTTCTTTTATAATATTTATTTTTGTTTTTACATATTCTGTATTTGCATGTTAACAGGTTTAACGTTCACTCGTCCTGACTACATGTATAAAGCACAATGACCGAAAAGAAATATTTTGCAAATTGGATTTCAACGTTAACGCAAGGCAAAGATTTACCTTCATTCACAGGTTCCTTCCTTTCTGTTTCCTCTGTTCTTGATTCAGATACAACTGGATATTTAAATAACGATGCTGTTAAATAATTGATTAAGCTCAACGAAAGACAGACACTGTATTTTGATTTACCTTTTGCAATGTTTTTAACTATTGTAATATCTTTTTAAAAATGGAAGAATCCATAAATTTAATGGTTCACAACTACAAACTTTCATCGGAATATGTTAATCTTAAAATAATGCTGAATTCTGAGGCAAATTGGCATACAATGAACAAATTCATAGCTGCCGTTTCGCATTCGTCTAATTCTGGCTAACAGACTGGAGTCCATCTAACTACATTTATAAGCTTTCGGTTGTTTATCAGAAAGATAAAATAGTTTCATATAATAACTTTTGCATTAGAATATACGTGCAATCTTTCAAGCTTCGTCAAAGTTTAGTGTGTGTAGGAATGAAGAGAGAAAGAAAGTTATAGTGTTCCCATGTTTTGCTACTTACGGTCTGTCATCATTGTACTGCTCCTAGTCCCATCGGCTGGGATTCTCGACTCAGGCTGTGGGACTGGAGACGCGGCGTTTTCAGCACCTAAGTTCGTAAGAGAATTTAATGATAAGAACACTCTAATTCACTTAAACGCACGTCAATTTTATAGATTTTACTTCAGAAAGAGAAAAAAATTAACTAACCAAGCTCATGGTATAAAAAGAGCCACACAATTTCTAATTTTTTAAATGTTAATGTTGTTCATATCACCACATATGATGCACTATCAACTTCAAAAGAATGGGGAGTCGTAGTCAACTCTAGATAAGGTTAACAGTCACAAGGTAGCCAAATTCAGGAGAGGTGTATTCCATACAGTTTAGATATTAGAAGATATACTGCTTGCGTAGTACTGTCTACCTGGTAAAGTATTCATATACTTACTGGCATCAACCAGTTCCTTCTGTTGTGTTTCTTTGCCATCAACATTTGCTGATGCTAAAAGTAAAGTTGGCAGGATAATAATAATAATAATCATAACAATAATAATATTGTATGACTATCATATAAATTTATACTTAATTTTCCAAAAAAAAAAAAAAAAAAAAAAAAAAAAAAAAAAAAAACTAAACACAGACTAATGAAAGCAATATACTATTTTCCCCATTTGTGGATACCAAAAGTAACTTTCCTGCAACCTAAAAGTGCAACCGTGCTCTCGAACACAAAACCTTTGCAGTGGCGCGTTTTACCAACATAAACATGGTGCTTTCCATTCACATTTACTTTAATTCTAGAGTGTAGCTTTTAATCCCTGTATACGTTATTTCCAGTGTTTCAACTCTCTGCACTTTATATGCTCCCCTAGCAAAAAAGTGTCGCCCCTAACGCAGTTATGTACATTGCTGCAAGGGTACCCATAGAATTAATTTTACTTAGGCATAACAACTAGACAACCAAATCGTGTTAACGGGGGATATACGTAGTAGGACACTGAAATACCCCAACATCAATTATTTTTGACATGCGACTCCTTAGTGAGATGGACATATTTTTTTACCAAGCAGTGGACATAGGAGGGAGTTTTGACCCGCCAAATTGCCAGGAGGTTAGGTTGTTCCATATGAACCATTCATTAGACAACATTATTACCAAAGAGGCACATGGGCACGATTGCCTGGGTAAAGCCGACCGAAGGAAACAACACCCAGAAAAGAGAGGGTGTTTACACACCTTTCTTGACTGTAACATTTAGCAACAACAGGGCAAACCATATTTCTGAGTTAACCATCAGAAGACGTCTGAACAATCCCCAGAAGTAGCCAGATAAGGTGAAACAAGCTATGCACTAAATATTATATAAAATTACCATTCACAAATGAGTTTGGTCTCTTGTTATCTGCTTCGCTTTCGCTGGCCCCTGTTCCATCCTCTCGAGCACGATTATTAATATCCCACACAGATCCATCACTTTGGATATTTAAGTCAGAGAGAGAGCTTAGTTCATCCGGAAGTCCTAAAACATGAAGCATATGATTAATATTATAAACGCTAGATATTTTTTTATGAAAACAGCTCTATTTCCTTATATTAAAAAACTATTACAACTAATGTACAAAACAAGTGCATTTTTAACAAATTCAAATAGAAAAAAAATTATATTAACTTTTAATCTCATAGGTATCTTGATACCAGTGTTTCACTTGTACTGTATCTAAATTTTCATTATGAATGTCCCTTTTTGGTGATTCATTTCGTCTGCTTTTTTGCCCGTTGTCGCTCTCGGCGCCCGAACTTTCTCCCACACCTTCAAACAAAGTCGTTCTCATCGGAGAACATACTTTGATTTCGGAAAGATCTTCTAATAAAAGAAACAAAGTTCATTTAAAAATGGCTCGCTCACCAACACTGCAACGGCAGTGGGCTTTAGTATGTAGGTGCAGGCATCATTTCAAATTTGGGTGGTAGTTGAATATTCATAGCACAAGACTTAAAGATTGTTTGTGTGTCACAATATCCCTAGCTATGCTAAGTTCATATGACTTAATTAGTGTAAATACTTAAGCACTTACTCTGAGGTGTTTGAAAATTCTCTCTTTCTGTTGCCTTGCTGAAACTCTCATCCTGATCTATTTCATCATCTCGTAGCAAATCTTTATCTTCGATCTCCGCGTCTGAGTCTTCATCCTGAACTTCTTTATTGTTTGCATCATTTCTTCTTTTGTCGCCCTGATTAACTTCACATTCGTTGGAGGAACCGTGTTCTTTCTCACAGTGGACTTGATAACAAAGATATATTTTCACAGTTCGTAATCAAAATTTAAATTTAAAATATGTGACATAAAAAATATCTTCTGTCCCCGATAACTAATGGGCAATGATATTTTAGTCTTTCGAAAAGGTCATGCTTAACAATTTTAAATACATAAATGGTTTGCACCAATAAAACTGAGGATATTCTAAAGGAAAATTCTGTCGTACGACAATGCAATTAATTGTTTCCTTCGGTTTTGAAAGCGAAATGGATATTGAGTCTGCTTACCACTAGTAGTGAATTCTTTCTTTCTATATTCTGGTATAGAAAATATATCATCTGATTGTGCAGTAAAACTATCTCTGCCGATGCCAGAACAAAGTAACGAAGCTGTCGCGAACGCCATGTTTGGAATATGTTTTAATCCACGCCTCTGTCTTGTCTATAACGTCTACTGCTGTAAACTCACACTCTCGTCCCAACGCATTTTGTTCATGAAAAGCAATTTATAAATAAATCAGGGGAAATTTCTGTGTGTAAAAAGACTGCATTCATGCTGAAATGATATTTCGTTTAGTTGATTTATTAAAGTCAAACACCGATTTTTCGATTGAATATGTCTTTTAAATACATTGTTTCGAGAAATCAATAACACTACATTGATTTTTGCGGGGCAAATCGTAAAGTGTCAATAAAAAAACAAAATCGTGTTGGTTGAAAAACAATTAAATGTATAGGTTTCGGACAGATCAAAGTAACCCCGTCACTTTAAAGAGTCTTAGCCCCGACAGCACATTGATACTTCTCGCCTTAAATATTGAACTATATTGAAATACTGAATATTGAATACTCTAGCAGGGGATAAAAAATTTCATTTTGCCATTGAAATAATGACTTGGGCGTTCACTTTCTGACCTAAACTTCGTAACAAAAAGCCTTTTAATACTTTGCGCGATGACTCACCTTTTTCGAAGAAATCTATTCACAACCAGTGTTTATTTAACAACAATATTAACGAGTGTGCCGCATGGACTCCTGTCCTCTAAATAAAAAGTTTTGCTTGCCTTCCCCTCTTTATGGGTATTTATAAAGTGTTTTCCAAGTCCAACAGATGTATATTATATGTTCTACAGTCAGCTTTTAGATGAGAACGCGTACATGTACCACTGGAGGTAAAAATAACCTGCTTGCATGCATTGTAAGCATTATACGGCCCCCCCCTTCCCAAGAATGTTACTCATCCCACGGCAATGACGCATGTTAAGACTTTCAAGTTCGGCCACTGCTCTTTTATTTCTGGCTTTGAGTTTCATTACATTAAATTCCATAATGTTTTAACTTTAGAGAGTGGTGTCAAATGTGCATCATACATGTAGTGAATCGCGATGAAACAATTGAACAACCAATGTCACATTAGCTGTTTATAAGGATAATGGTTTGTAGGACAAATCGATTACTGTTCTGATGCACCCCCCCCCCCCCCCTTCTTTGTTTTTAACAAAATATCCACAGGTAATTCCCTGTCTGTGCCTATTTCTGTGGTTTTATTCCAACCCTTTTCACTTCAATCTGAAAAAAATCTGCCCACGAACCGTTTGATTAAGATAGGGTAGTCCAGCTATTAATATCAGTATGGACACTGCTAGGTTGAGGCACTCGGAGCAACGACCCTGCTGAAATTTCCCTTTATCAATTAAAATGACCAGGCTGCCCTTGATCTAGACCTCCCTGGCAAGGGGAAGCTAACTTCGACACTGTTCAAATAAGTTTTGAGTGGAGTTCTTAAAAGGCATGGCTATGTCTCCATTATTGCCCCCTAGACTTCATTTTAGTTATCAGCTATTTCGGCAGCCTCTTGCTCATTTTTCATATTTGTTGACTTTTCAGATATATCCTCTCTTGAATTTAAAATATCTTCCCTGGATCTCATTAGTTTTCTTGCTTTCCGCTTTCGCCAAGCTATCACAATTGCTGTCGCAGCCACCGTCACCGCTAACACAATGATCAGACCCGTCACAATACCGGCTATTGCGGCCCCCGACAATACAAATGGGTCGTTCTCTATGAAAAGAAGCAAATAAATCCGCTGAAATATGTAAAATATGTTAAATATGCATAATGTTAATGATAAAAAAACTTTTTGTACAATACTTTAACAGAAGCCCTACGCCCTTTGCCTTCTATTTAATTTGTGTTCGAATCAACGAACTGCAAAATTGTTCCCTTAGCTTGTTATTTTTCGATATGGGTATGGATGGATGAGGACTTATTAACCACTGATTAAGAAAGCTGGCAGTAAACATTATATAAAAACAATAGAAACAGATACGATTGTATATTGGTCGCTAATGAGCAAACAATTGGATTAAATGTACGTTTATAGATCAGTCATAATTTAACAGAATGAAGCTTCTAAAATATCCCAAACTGTGTATGGGAACTACATGTAGGCGAGGGTCTGGGTGTTGCTCGCATGTTCATTTTTTTTTTACTTCTTGCCAAGGACCAAGTTCAGCCGTTCAAACTCCACTTCATACCTGCACAGATCATTAATATTCCTATCTTACTTACCGTTTTCCATGGTTATGGCTTTTATGTCAAGATTATAAATCGGTATAAATTTTTTTTTGCAGTAGTAATAGTTGAATTAACGACGCAACCCGCAGTGAAACGTGGCGGTATAATGTATGTTAAGTTAAGCTGGTATACCAGAAAAACTATTACTGCTCCTTTAGTATATGGAAATTAATTCACCGTGTTTCTTAGGGCGTGACCCCCTCCCATTTTGTGATTTAATTTACTCACAAATGTGTTCGTGGATTATTTTAACGGAACCATAAGTAAACGGACATAACGATTCCCTTACACAGTTGTTGAACGCGTTCATACAGAGACATACGCATGTTTTGTTACGAGTAGACCAAAATACGAAAAACTTATTTTAAAAAGTAAGATGAGAATACAGTGCTTCGCTACCTTGGTCTATAACTGTATATATCCGGATATGAAACCTATAGTTTCTGTAAGACAAGGAGGAGCGTACCAAGCGAAGAGTAACAAACGGTTGGGTTGAGTTGAGAAGGACGGGTGGCGGGAAGCCACTCGCGCAGTTGTAGCGGATTATCTGATGCTTAAAATAGAAAATAAAAAATATTATGTATTAGAAACATGCTAATATCGCTCCCCATATTATAAATGATTCATTTTCTGATATTTGATTAAAGGCCTACTCGGATGCATAACAGATTAATATACTTTAACAGAGAAAGAGCTTTTAAGTTAAAATAAATTAAAATACTTATTTTGCCATACATCTTTAACTTCTGAACAATTAACAAGGTTTTGTAATCATGATTTCCAGATGCAGCCCTCCTGCTTCTGCTAATATTTCCACCAAAATAAAACCAAGAGAGACTATTGATCTTACTTTATCCTCTAGCGACAGAGACCCGTCCCCGTCGTATATGTCCACTCCGGACGTTTCCGCTTGGTCTCGGCAGGGGAAGTGCAGTTCGGAAATATTCAGCATTAGTTTCCTATTTGGCCGATAGAAGGCGTGGTCTGCGCGGAAGGTAAGCCGACAGTCTACAGGTATTTTGTAGTAGTAGTCGGCATTGTCGGGGTGAATGGCTTGCACCGTCACGACGTCATCACGTGCCACCTCGTGCGCAATATGACGGTTGCAGTGTTTCCCCGTGTCATCCATGTAATCTGCAAGGTATAAATAAATTAATGGGTTTCACCAAGTCAATTATATTGGTTCAGCGCTAAATAAGAATGCTTCTGTTGTCTAAATATGTTCTTTACACATGCACGCACGACCCCCCCCCCCCAACACACACACACAAGGGCATGCGTGCGCGCGCGCGGTTTTGATTATGTTTGTTATTTTTTTCATGCAGCATGTTAAGCAGGAATAAACTTTGATTCTAAATCACATTCTTATATTTGTTAAAGTTTAATATCGAATGAAATGAATGCACTAAAATTATCCAAGTGATAAAATAACATTTAACCTAGCGTTGGATTTGATGTGTATATGTTTCTACTTAAACTAATGTTATCAAACGTAACTGTGTCTTTTTGAAATAATTAAAAATGCGTCACCCTTTACCTTTAAAAAAACTGGTGATTTACTATTTGATGATGTCTTTACGGACATGAAACCCATGTTGATCCTCTGTCTGGGTCAAACATTCTTTAGAGTGATATATTACTTCTCCTTGGGTCATTCATTGTCTTGATGTGCGTACAACCGCAATTGCACATGCAACTGTTTATAAAAGCAGTTTATATTCAATCTTCTGCTACGACAGGTTCACAAGCACCATTTGTTTATGTTACCATTCGTATAATAGGAAGTAAGGGCAGATAATGTATTTTGTCTACGGGACCACGTACTGCTATCGTGACCAGCCAGTGGTCTAAAACAAGTTTTTTAAAACATGATTTGTACCTGACATCGCTGTGTGCACGTGAATGACACGTGCCACATGGATGGGTGCCTAAATATTTGTGAATCAAGACCCTTTAGCTAATATTGAGTCACTAATAGAATATAAAAAGAAGTTTGGGGGAGGAGCGATGATGTTTTGACTAGTATGCAAAGGGCCTTTTCAGATAATGTTTTGCTGTGTACCCAGTGCTTGCGTGTAATTTTTTTTTTTTTTTTTTGGGGGGGGGGGGGGAATCTACCGGCAGCGCACACTGAATAGTTGCACTGCATATGTAGCATATGACTTCAATTCATAAACAGCCTGGTTTGTTGTTTTTTTGTTTTGTTTTTTGTTTTTACAATCACATCCGTCTTAAGTCTGGGACAGTCTCAAGGTCAATTTGCATCTGTGCAAAGCAGGACCCAATACAACCTGTCAACCTGAAATAACATTCAAAGTTATTTACAGTCCCTGTTGTCCACTATTCATAAATTGACACTCAATGTCGATGTCCCAATTTCGATTGGTGCTTGAAAGTGTCAAAACATAAATTTTAGTGACGTAGCTGTTCATTTCATGGTAGTGCATGGACTCTAACCTTCTGCATGTCCTATTACTTGTCACAGCAGGCTTTCTTTTTCGTTTTGAAACATTTATGACTTAGCACATAATCGTGAATCACTGAAATTGGCATAAAACAAGTTCATCCATTAATGTTTTTTATAGTGGGAACAAGCGGACGACGAAATGACTCTTGTGCAAAAAAAAAAAAAAAAAACGCCTGTTGTAAATATAATATCCTGCTGCAAATATAATATCAGTTCACTTAACATAGAGGGAAACCTCCCTTCAGGCGGTACAAACGTAACCTGTTATTTTTACCAGGATATTCACTGTTAAAACACCTGTTTTGTGCATCCGGTTTTAAGCGGTATAAGATCTACTTATTCTTATCAGAGACAAGTATCTGTAACACGGATACAATTATAGCTTCGTGCAATATTAAATGATGACACGGCAAATAATACATATTTTTTCTTATACACAAGGGCAGCCGATACGGGTATACCTGACATTTACCTGCGCTATGTTACAGCCAGATAAACATGGCTTTCTTTACATTGTGTCAATTTTTTCTTACATCTTATCACGGTTAATTTCTACCTGTTAATCGTTGGCATGTCTAAGGTTAATACTTCTCTGTGCTACTTGGTGATAAAGTGCTTTTATTGAATCCTTTTTGTATGAACCCTCTTACTACATGAAAGAAAGTCAAAACAACAGTTAAGTTTTATGCAAACGGCCGGGCACGGTTACTGCACATTTCTTTCTGTTTTTCTTTTAATGAAACTGAATTCTAAAAGCTGAATTCCCACAGAATCCCATCCCAATGGGTTAATCCATATACTCTTGAAAAGGGGTACAGTATACATATTCATTAATGCACAGATATAAAAAGGAATATATGAAAAAGGTGGTGGACTTACAGTGGTATTCGTTCCCGGTCACCAACGGTACCGCAGTCAAGAGACCGGCTATGCAACTCAGGTAACAAACGTACATATTCACTCCTCCGCCTCTTGTCTACTTTCACACGAATATCACCTGCTTGTTGACGGCGATGACAGCGATGACAGTCCAATTTTTGTTCAGGTACGGGTCCGCGTTTATATATATTTCCCTAAACTTGGGTCATTTGTGAAGGCTACCGACGCAGAGACGGGGGTGACGTGTGCGACACGGAACACTGTGTGTAATGTATTATCACGAATATCAAGCTGTGGTTTCAGGCACAGGTTACAGGCTGTATGGGGGCATTCGCTTTTTTATTATTTTAATTATTATAACAATTGAGGAAGGGACGGGCGCCTCCTTTACTTAACGTTACAAAGGCATAAACAAACGTCTCAATTATTATCGGTGATTTGCACAGTTACAGGCCGAGATGGAGAGAACCGCACCTTGTCTTTTGTTCCAAGAGGAGCTAATACAGACAGGTAGGTAGGTAGGTAGGTTGTTCCACATCGGTGTTTTTACGATCAATGAGAAAAAAGTGTAAAAAATTTAGTATGAGGTACAACAAATGCTTTTCAAAACTTTGATTTTTTTATCATAAAATGAATTTGGATCAAGACAAATACTTTCATTTACTATTATGGACCCCAGGCGCTTAGTTAGCAGGAAACATTTCACCAAAAAAGGAAAACCCAGGCGGCGCGGAGCGGAGGGGGGATTGAGAGGACGATCGTCACTTTTCATCTTTTGGGGAAGGTTCTGGTACCGTCATGAAAATATTTGTTTTTGGTTCCCAAACGTTTTGAGAATCTCAAAGATTACCCTCATTTTACTTTAGCGTGTGTGGCGGATTGTGGCGAACCCTTATAAAACGCCCTTACAACACGAAATGTGAACGATGTAAATACAGATTTGTGTATAAAACACAATTTAACCTTTGTACGGAATATGTAGTCTGCACTGGTTTCAACCCTACTCCGTTTATACTTCGTAAGGGTAAACCACAATTACATGCACGGAAAGATGACATTGAGATTTAAAAGAGTAGGAATCCTTATTACATTTATTACAGATTGAAACGGCCCCACCAGGTTGCTGTACTTGGGACAGAAATGCTAGAGTGGTTGAGACAAAATGCGCACACCTCAAAATGTGCACACCTAACACAATCGAAATGTCCGTGATTGTAGATTGGACTAGAGATCTGATTATCACATTGGAACATCCGCAGCAGTGATAAATCGTGAACTAAAGTATTTTCTGAATGTAGGCTGCCGTCACGACAATATACGTGTACCAGTTGACAATGCTGAAAGAATGAAATATGAAAGAATGTTCGTCCCAAATTGGATTTCCTACCATTTTGATTTGTGGCCAATTTGATAAAGTGGGAAAATCGGGAAACCTTGGAATTGACAGGTTCCGTGGCTTTATTTTCGAAATGCAAGATCTTATACTTGAATTTGAAAACGGATTTAAATAGACCTTAATACACGTTTTCTTGTGGAGATTTCGAATGTGCATGGTCGTGTCAATTTTTCAACCACAATACCTTATTTTTGGCTTTTGAAAAAGCGAAAATGTTGAGAAACATTGAGAGTGTGTGTTCAGTAGCACCAGGAGTAGTATTTTTAGCTTTCTTCCATACTGTATGCGACCCATATCCCTGCAAAAATTTGTCTCATTTAACGTTCACTTACGGTTCTCAATCTATTCTAGAACATTTGGTGTATATTTTTTACAGTTCTAATGTTGTTCTGTTATGAATGTAACAGTTCGAGAACTGTTTTGGGAAGTCCTTCAGAATGTCCTAGAACAAGAACAATTTTTCATTAAAAGAGAAAAACATTATGTTCTAGGACAGATTGAGAACCGTAAGTGATCGTTAAATGAGACGAATTTTCGCCGGGGGCCCAGCATCCCCTTGTCTATCCATCAGTATCTATCAATATGACCCACAGATGCTGTTTTTCCCGACACTTTCCAGACTGCGATGAACAATGCAGACTACATTGTCATTAGCTACTGCACTTAATGCATCTGAACACAGCTGCAATTTGTTGCCGCCAAATAGCGAAGACACCGAGACCACCGAAAAAAGGATCAAAGTTGGAAAAAAATTAATGCCGATTGGTTAGAAAGATCTCTTTTTTGTTCCTATGGCCCTGCGCCTCACAGGTTACATTTTGACGGCTGTTAGACCAGAAAAGAGTTCAAAACCACGCAAAATTCAACCTATCTTTCCCCCTCCGGGTCACGGCATTGTATGGCGCTCAGATTTCCCAGGCGGACATTCGACCCGTGACGTCATTTAGACTTACACAGAGCCTGCACCCTGGTCGATTTTCTAACCAACACCATGCAGCATACAACGTCAATTCTTGATTTTATTTACTCTCGGAAACCTTTCTTTTGAAGTACAGTCAGCAACGCCACATAATTACCAATATTTAAGGTTTTCGATACGCACGATTGTTCACAGTTGCGGTAAAAAATTCAAGCTGAAAATACAATTTCTGAAAACTATTTAAGTGCAGTATAAATACAATTTACTACATCATGAATACTAGTGCAATTAAATCCACTTAACCAGAATATACAGTTTAGAAGGGGTTAAATATGCATGACTTAATACAATTAAATATATAATACGACTATATGGCGTACATTTCTTGAGACCAATATTCGGGCGGTGATCCAAATCTTTTTCCAATTTCCATTAATTTTTTTTACAAGACAAACACATTAATATACAATTGTACGCTATTTCTACTCATCAGTACATTATTTGCTCTTTGATTATTCCTTCCATCAACACAATCTAACCAAACCTTTTCACTTTGATATACATGTATCTGTTTGTATGCATTTATACTGGAGAAAGAAAGAAAGAAATAGGGGAATTTTATCTACTCTGTGTCCCCTCTAGGTTCAACCAGGCCCTTGTGGAAGGGTCCTGAATCCGGCATTGACTTTATTTTCGGGTGTGTTCGATAAACGAAACTAATTGCATGTATGTATGTAATAACGCCACGGTAAATTCTATCACTATGATGCCTTATGACGTCTGAGTTGTAGTTTAAAATAACCTGATTGTCCGACATAAAATAAGTGCTATCTAACAACATAATCCTGTCACGCTGCTGGAGTACATGAATAACAGGAAAAGAAAAGAAAAGAAAAATATTAGAGACGTTACATAAGTAATTGTGTTCTCACTTTAGCTAACGTCACTGTGGATCGAAAACTGCAACCACGCAGTTCCAAAATGGAATCATTGCCAAAGAAAGATAGAAATAACCAAGCTATGGAAAAGTGTTAGCAAAATTGATATTTGCTGGGAGGCTTATGGTGACACTTAATTGTAATAAGCATCGTACGCGTGAGGTAATTACGGCAATACATTTTCTGATCAATGACGCGTTGGTTGAGGTTATTTTCATGTCATTTACTACCATTTAAATGCGCACTAAATGCGTTTGAAAATGCTTCAAAGTTAAATTTCTCGTGTCATGTTTGGATATCATGCAACACTTTTTTTCTTAAATTAGACCCTTAATACGCTAAAAAATCCTAAAATACACGATACATATATTTCCCCCTAAAAGTCAGGATAATGGTACTCTAAATTTACCATGTTTTATTTAAAACTAAGTTATTTGAAACAGTACAAATCCAAGAGCAGGACGGGTCGCTCAGTACTTCTTGAGCAGGAGGAGAAAACGCATTTTTTTCTCCAAAACAGCCGACTGGCAAGAAAACCCCATATAGGACGCCAAATGCTGCCCATTCGTTAGGTCGTCTCTGTGTTGTTCACGGCAGTGTGCAGTGTTGGGTGTCGTCTGCTCCGCAGATATAACACCAGTACGATCACGAATAAAACAAAGAATACGGCGCACAGCGCACCCGGAACGCTCCACGCCGGCACCATGCTGTCACCCTGCAAAATATGAGTTAGGTGAATGGATCTTATTTAAAACAAAGACGATCAAAACAGGAACGACAGCAAATAGTTGGGTGCATTACAGACGCAGTTAATGCCTTCTATTAGTGTAGGCCTAATCACTGACTAATTACACATGAAGGCTATAAATTGTTTTTCAAATAATTACTGATCTAAAAGCAAATAGTAGCGGACAGAGGGGAATTCAATAGCCAGATTTGAAATGACGAATATTTCATTTTGAACCATTATTATCGATCAGTACATTTGTTACAAAAAAGAAAAAAAAAAACAGATATGAGTGGTGTAGTACATTATGAATGCGAGAAATATTACGGAAAAGAGAGAGAGAGAGAGAGAGAGAGAGAGAGAGAGAATTACCTGGCAGTTGTCCATCTTTGCTGTTATCAAAAGAAAGAAGAGAAAAAATGAATTAGATGCATTATGAACGAAAATATATGTTTTCATTTATTAAATGTCACCTTTTCTATACATTCATCGGTTTGGTCATACATTATGTATTATTATCTAAATTCGTAAAAATATAACATCCTCAATTGTCGGTTACAACGATTAGACACCAAGGAATACTTGTATAAAAACAAACATTATGACATTAACTCGGATGGTTTACAGTTCATCCCTCCATTAACTTTATTTTCAAATTACTACATAATAGTAAGTTTCAGTAATTATAATTATCCATAATTCCACTCAGTAGTGAAAAGAAATGGAAATTGTTTTAATATTGTGAACTTGAAATCCAGTGATTAAATAAACCGTATAGGCAACTAATCGAATAACTAAGATGACACTAGCATTCAGCAAACTATTCTGATATTAGTTTAACTGTCCTACATGCATGCTTTGTCAATTCTTCCAAGCCTAGAAAGTAGTGATTGGCATATAGACGGGTTGGAACTGTTACGTTATAGACTGTTTTGTTACGTGTACGGACAATCAGGCTTTGAACTTATACCAACTGACCATGCCATTGATAAAATGTAGTCTCGATGGTTAAGTATAAAGGGAGGAGAAATTACAGGCCGTTGGTCATAACATGAGAAATAAAGGAGGAAGGCGAACACATAGAGAGAAGTAACGGAAGAAGATAAGAACATGGGCATTAGCCGGAATTCAGCATCAAACTACTGTAGCATTGAAAGAAAATGTCAGGTACGGATAAAACAAAGATCGTGTTGAAATAAATGAAAAATAGATGATCTGCCATGGCGTTAAAAGCAGCTGCTTTGTTCAAATGCCAACATGTTTCATTGAAAGTAACCGTTCTGTCAATACACTTCTAATTGTCCGAATGGGTTTCGTCGATATTTGAAACTATTTGAATTCGCAGCCGTGTGAAAAAAAAACTGTTGTGTAACATGTCTAATATGAGACAGTATCAGCTGTATTCGTCAGGTTCTGTCATATATTGCATTCTCAAGTCTCAAGTGGAAATGGAACCAAGACAAATGGTTTGATACGGCACTAAAATTAATTTGTGCACATAATTGACATTTATTTCATTTAATTATGAATTAAGTTAATTTAGTTACTTTGGATTATTTTCATTATTTGGATCACTTATATTACCTTATGTTTAGTAATGTTCAATAAAGATGATGAATTTGATTCTATATTGTTTCATTTTTCTTTGTTATATAACAAAACAAAACGCCTTCGGGATACATAATTGATTTAGGTGTGAAACATTGAGAATGTAGACCGCTATATGAGCACAGGCTCAGTATATACTGATACAATGAGAGCATACAGACCCCATACACTGTATTAAAAATAATATTTAAAAATGGAGGCAGAGAAAGATCAATACTTAGTGTCATAATTGCTTTTACCAAGAAATGAAAATATCCTTTGGAAAGAGAAGGTTATCCGTTATTATCACGCATTTAGTGCCAATAACAGGAAACCTAACGTCACAGGAAGGATGATTTTTTTAAGTATTAAGTTTTATATAGATCAAATCGTGACCGATTTCGAGGTATCTTTACAGAATCGATATGCAATCGATTGCTACATGTACCAACGAGGTGTTGAACAGGCCACATTCTCCGCAGAAGTAACTTACATGGGTTTTTTAGTGATTTCTTAATTTCCCAACAGTTATGATGGAAAAATCAGAAGTATTTTTTGGCATAACAACACTCATTTGCAGGTAAAAAATTATCAAATACAAGCCAAAATATTTTCGTACCGTTAGCTGATGAAGGCCTTCGCCCAGGTTGGCCGTAAGCTAACGGTACGAAAATATTTCGGCTTGTGTTTGATAATTTTCATTTAAGATCCAACTACCAAGCTAATGAACATTTTTGCTCAACACTCATTTGAATTTTAAAAATCCACCATCACCCACAAACGCCATATTAGCACATCTTTGTTTCGCTTTCATTTTGTTCTAGCACGAATGGAGAGCCATAACCAAAGGCTTTTGGAGTCAAAACGGGAATCCGGACGATTCATTTACCCAGATACTGCTCCACCTGATCTGTTTCCGCTGGCAACTGTAACTCTTCCTAACCTGCGTTACTTTGAATCGGTGCCTCTCTCCCCCCCCCCCCCACCCCCACTTTAGAGCAATTTGAGCAAAAAGCAGACAAACCCCAGGGCATGGTTGGAGGAAACGTGCAATCGATAAACCTATGCAAAACATAATATTGCCTGACAGTAAGTGCACAGTTGTTAAAATTAATCGGATTAATCCAGTAGCAAAAAATGCAGTTTTAGTCATATCAAACAATCATTTTGGCCAGCCACAGATGATCATAACAAATATGTAGAATGAATACAGTAGGCCTATAAGTCCCTATTTTTGTCAACATTTCTATTAGCTTGGTATGTATTCAAGCACATGCATTACATTGTCATGCCTTTCCCATCACAAGCTTCATGATAACCTAACGTATCTTAAAACGCAGTGGTATACCAAAACGTATCTTAAAACGCTGTGGTATACCAAAACATATCTTAAAACGCAGTGGTATACCGAAACGTATCTTAAAACGCAGTGCCAAATACACTCCTTTTACATGCGCTACTTTGGAGTAAAGTTTATTTTCTGCTATACGGTAATACTGTTACTTTAAAAATGACGTCACAGTATGTAATAAAAGTGACGTTAAAGAAGCCTACGTCACAAGACAGGTCCTGTTTGGCAAATTAACTGTAGCTATATAGGACGTCTATAAGTTTTATATTCTCCCAAGCAATTAAACCTTTTCACTCGCGAGCAGTGTTTTAATGCGGGATTTGTCGACAAAGCTAAAGTTTGGAGTTTGGAAAATAATAGCTTACTTTCAAAGAAATGTCTCGGAGTGTAGAATTTCATATCTCCTTACAAGAGAAAGAAACACTGATAAATGATTACCGTAAAATAAACTTCCTATACCAGATTATCAGAACAATAGCGTCATAACTTATTTATTGTCGTAGTACATGATCTCCAACAGACTTGAATTAGTTATTAGCAAAAAAAAAAAAAAGAAAAAAAAAAAAAAAGCAATTTCGTTCTGTATAGAATGTAAGGTGAAGATTCATTGATCTATATAATTACCAACACATTTTATACTCGTATAGATAGAATACAAAAGTTGTACTCACTTAAAAAATTGTGTATGAACTTTGTCCAAAAATACAACTGTCTTGCTTTGAGGTTTCTACGAGAGGTAGCTAAAGAGGGCGTCAGGTCGAAATCCATGTAATGTGCTTCTTTGGAATACCGTCGCCATATTGGAAAACCATTCCCTCGAGGCGTCATGTGTCCCACAGATGACGTCATATTAATTGGATTCGGGTTTCTGGAAATACAAAGTACATACCAAATGCCGTATTCACCTTATCTGAATGACGTCAACTGTACACATTATGACATCACATTTGTTCAGTTTTGTTCAGTTTTGAATCTTAAAAGATTTCTGAAAGCATATAAAAAGGGCGACTTCGATGCCATGTCATTCACATACACTGCTAATGCGTAATGCTTTTTCAAGCAATAGAATCATTACTCATCACACATCTTTTAAGACGTGCTCAGAGCGTCTTTCAAAAAGCAGAAAGTGAATAAAATATATAGTGAAAATATATAGTGATCAGTCTCAGTATATACGTGAAATGTTATCATGAAAATTGGCATGGTTGATGACAAGGGTGTGAAATAAAATCCAGTGCCAATGTTTGATTTTACATTTTTGTTTGTTTGTTTGCTTGTTTGTTTGTTTGTTTGTTTAGGAGATGTGAGCCACTAATTAAAAAGATTCATAAAACAAAGACATCATTTAGCCCATTAACTGATAAAATCAGAAATAAGTTTTTCAAGAAAATTGCTGGCCCTAGATTGTAGTTCTTATTATTGGGATTAAAAAGGTGCTAAAAGGGTGACAGACATCAGTTTGAAATCGATATTAAGGTTTTTAAACCAAAACACAAGGTCCAATAATCAAATTCCCTAGGCCTATATATATTTAATCAAGCAGCATTGGCGCATAACATGACGCTGACAATATTTTTGTTCCCATTATCTAAGCAAACAGGGGAAAAATCCTTACGGAGTGAATCCCTTCACACGAATATGACAATTGGCACAAATAAAGGACCTTGCACAAACTTTGTAATAGCAAGATAATAATAGAACTTCATAATTAGCAATGCTATAAATAAAACAATTGAAGCATGTTAGGATAAAGAGAGAGAGTGTATGATTAGAAGAACAAAAGACCAATTAACGTCAAGTCTAATGTCTAAGTGATATACATGTACCGGTACGTTTCAAGATATTCTATGTAATTACTCTACAGGAGACATTATTCTCTTTAACAAATTTTCCACAAATTCTCTCCCTTTTCTTAAAAATGAAGTTAGTTAAACGGTCTAGTCGAGCGCGCAGGCTGTACGTTAACAAGGTATGTGTTAGTAAGACTATTAAATTGCCAATCGCAATATGCTGGTGCAGCTTTATCAGAGAATCATAACGCTCTATGTGAATAGGTTTTAGTGTTCCGTTTAATGAGGCACCTTTGCAAAACAAACCGACCGTTCGTGCGTAAAGTTCAAAGGGATGTTTACGAAAACATTGCTTTGTACGTCAACAAAAACGTATTCAGTGGCGAAAGACAGAAAACAGATCATTGTTGGGTAATGTGATACATTTGAATCTAGAGTGTTCGATATCTTCGCCAGTTACGCATCTTTGTAAACATCGGGGCTCATGCGGTTAGTTTAACACGTCTTGTAAACATATTTTAGAGAAAAAAAGAGAAAAAATACCATATGTTATCCTGGGTTTGTCTCTTCATTATTTTCAGATGGAAATGCAAAACTGAAGTGCAGCACAAAGTCGAAGATGACAAAATTAATCGAGATGTTTTTTTTTTTTTTTTTGAATTGTCGGTTTTTTCGTTTCAAATTTATTATGGCGGTCTCTCTTGCGAAAGAAGGAAATTTCTCTCTGCCAGAGGACTAGTTCAAGAGGACTTGGTCCACAGTGTTTTTTATTTTCTTTTCTTTTTGTATCTTTAATATTTGGAGACATCTGTTCTAAACTGACATGGAATTAGATCAAAATATTTGCTCATTTCTAACAAACTGATCTTTCAAATCCTTGCATCTGCCTAGCCGCATTTTATTATGCATGGTTATTTTAACAAAAATACTTTTTTAACCACACCTCTTGTGGGGTCTGGTCGATAAAAACCATGATAACTTTACAAATAACTTGTGTACTCCTGCCACAAGCCTAGACAGCTTTAGTTAATAATAATAATGATAATAAATTATAATAATAATAATGATAGTTATTCCCACATTTTTCCATCCACAACTACTTATGAAGAAGAAATGCGCCAAAACTGAATCTGATTTTGGTGAAAGATTATGTAGATTACTTGCCCTCTGAAAAACGTTCCAATACATTGTCATGCAGAATTGTGCTCTATATACACTGATGAACAGCCCACTTACCCTGTCTTGGCAAAGTTCCCCCAGGCTGTCATGATGGCCAAACTCAGTTGTTTCTCATCTTCGGAGGGCGGTGTGTCAAATAACGTCTCGTCAAACACGTCCCCGAAAACATAATACAGTTCGTCCATGTGAACTGCATTAGTGTAGCTTGGCCAGTGAGTAAAGCCGGACTTATGTGACAAGAAATACAAGAACACATCGGTAAAGCGTGCGTATTGGGACGCCGCTTGGAGACATGAAATCACGAACCCTTGGTCGGTGAGTGCCGTAAGGACGCCTCGCCACTTCTGGGTTACGTTCGTTGTCTTCGCCTCCGCCCCTAGATATTCAAATTTTACGATTTCCCTTAGAAGAGGATTACTTTCCGAGAGCCGATCCAGGTATGTGTCAACGAGTTTGTGGTCAAGATGAAAAAGTTGCTTTTCTAAAGCCAGAACAAAGGCATATTCATCGTTTAGAACACCAAGCATTATGGGAACGTCGGCGCTTATATTCAATTCTTTATAACTGTCTTTTATAAAGATTCCATCTTGCACAGGGGCCAACGGTTGAAAAAAGTGTCCATTCACGCCATAATGTTCTTTATAGTCATAGAACGCGTTTAACAGCTGCTCAGAGGTCTTGGATCGCAAGCACGATAGGTACTTGGCGGTGGAGGGTCCATGGCAGCCAATTCTGGCCGCCATGGCGGTACTGTGCCCGGCTGATACATCAGTTTGCTTACGGGTGAAGGTAAAGGCCGCCGTAATTGGCGGTAGTACCCCACTTTGTACTATAGCCCTTTGGAATAATCCTCTTGCTGTTCCACTGACCAAAAAGAGAGAAGTGGAAACACCACCGACAGAGTTTCCGAAAAGTGTGATCAGAGAGGCGTTGCCACCGAATGCTCCAATATTCTCTCGTACCCAGCGTAAAGCTTCAAGCTGATCGAGCAGGAAATAATTCCCCGGGGCCTCCTCGTCTCCCGTGGAGAACAAACCAAACAGAGACAGGCGGTAGTTGAAGGTAACGACAATCACCTGCTGGTATACAGCCAATATCGACCCATCAAAATTCATCCCTGAGCCCCATTCCCAAGCCCCTCCGTGGATGTACACCATGACAGGCAGTAAGTCCTCAGACGGTCCCTTGCGAATAGTTATCCCAGGCACGTAGATATTGAGGGTCAAACAGTCCTCACTCATGGTATTTCTCGGAAAGCGTTTCTCTATATATTTCTTGGGGAAAATTCGATCACGCACTTCCAGGTCCTGGACACACATATCACCGAATTCGGAGGCTGAAAGAACGCCATCCCAAGGGTCCATCCGCACCGGAGCTGCAAACCGTAGCTCTCCTATCGGTGGCTTGGCGTAGGGTATTCCTAGGAAACGCACCAGATCCCCTCTTGGGGACGTAATAACTTGACCCTCGATGTCGCCGTACTTCGTTTTCACTAGCATCAAGGCTTCTCCCATGACGGGGACTTGGTACGCGTTCAGTAGCAATAAAGATATTAACAGAGCCATTGCGGCAATTCTGTCAGCACAGATATGTCAAATGCGACCTCGGTGTCATCCGCGCGCGAAGCGTTTTCTTGTTGGCCGCACACAATCCATTCTTTATCGCAAAACGTGATAACGCTTATAGTGCAACACTAGTAATCTTTGAGTTCACGCCGCTTCGTATAAATGTCATGAGAAGAATCTGAACGCTTAATGAGCAGAGCAAATCTATGCACAGAACTAGAATGTTGCACCTATAATTATCCCTAAGTGCCTGATTTTCAACCTAACCTGCTCTTTAAAAAAAACAGACACTGTGAAATGTTCTTCACAGAAAATGTGAAATGTTATTCACCTGCTTCTATTTTGATTTTGACGTTGGGTAGACCACCTGTATGCCCTATCTACCTTTGCGTGCGCCGTTCTGAGATTTGTAAAGCGCCGTTGCGAATGGCCAATTTGCACTCCTCGCTCTCGGGATTCCGCACCTTTGCCACATGCGATGCAATCTCTTTAAATAAGCAGCAGAACGTCATCGTATAGCGCCCTGGAGGCAAGTCAGCCACCACGTCACCAAGGTGCAATTGTAAAAGAGGCTCTCAAAGGGAGGGTCACGCTCAGCCCGAGGGGACTCGCGACTTAATTACAGACAGGCGAAATGCATCTGGACACTAATTGGTGTCCAGATAATTAAACCGCTCACGGGTACAGGCCGATGGCCAGCAGTGGATGGTGCACCTAAAACAACAGCAAATTTCAACCATCGCAATCTAAATACCGGGATTTCGGTGCAGAAAAACCATTTATTGACGCAATGAGCTTTGCACTTATCTTTTCATGAAGTTAATGCAAAACCTTTTGTCATATATCTCCCCGGGGTTTGATGCGTTCTAGTTCCATTTTGGTATACCTATTTTTCATGCTTATATAAATATAGCCAAGAAGTGTTAGTCAAATGCTGGAATTGACTGCTGGCCAGATATACGTTACGGGGTACCAGGTACAGCGAGATCTACCGGAACTTTTGATTTTACGGCCTAGAACAATGTTTCATGGCTAATCTAATGTTTTGTTCAGAAATGTATATATTTGTCACTGAAAATCTACTGTGGCTGCCGTGCGTAATCTATTATCTTCAATCCAATTCAATTTGCGTGCTGTCTTTGCTTCCGTATTAATAACTCAAGTAAAATTAGCGAAATGTAATATTTCAAGTCACTGTAGGCCTAAACACCTTCTTTGCTTCCAAGTATTGCCTTTTCACAATCGTTAAGGTCATAGAAGGCGAAATACTGACGCAAAACTGTTTTTGGTTGCTCAAGTCTGTAGTCAGCAATCTTAAAGGGGGTTATTTAAAAAAACTTTTAATTAACTTTGTTTTACCTGGTATTTCCAACTTTAATGAAGGCGTAAAACCACGATCATATGTTGTTTCAAAGTGGCCATAATGGCAGTTCTTTTGAACCGACCTCTTCTCCCTATTCTACTATTTAGTTATTTGAAACCCATGTTGTAAAAAAGTTTTAAACACGGTATATTTAAGTCCTTTAAATGTTTCCAATAACAAATTAACTTTATTTTGGTACTGGCCTGGCATTAACGGACAAACTGTTATAATAATAGAACCATTCATTAATGGATTCATTCGTAGTTATCCCCCACCGCGCATTATATCTAGAGGTGCGAGGTTAAAAATAGACTAAACGCTCCTGAAAAATAAATGCGCCTCCTGTTTGATTAACACCAAAGTAATTTGAAAATCCAATGCTCAACACACTTGAATTTGATTAGTTTTGATCGAAAAATCAAAAACAAGTTGTTTCAATGTAAAACAGGTTCATTAGCTATGTTATTGTAATAGACTTGTAAAGATTCTTTTGTCTATATAGCTTCTTATATTTATCTGGTCTTACCAGCCAATATTTTGTCTGCTTGCAGTCAGACTTCATCATTCCCTGATGAAGTAGCTATAGACAAAGGAATCTTTACAAGTGAAAGTTTTTTTCAAGTACATGATCATGTTTAAAGCATAAAATGCAGTTAGGACTTCCTATATGATAGGAAATCAATTTCCTTTATCACATGTCATTATCATCTGTATGTCACGCCATATTCAAAACTGTTGACAATATTTGCTATCTATTAAACCGATTCTGAGTTGTGAGTTTCTAGTGTTTGAGTCCAACTGCTAGAAGAGATAAAGACTAATGAAGTTCATCTGAAATAAAACTGAACAAAACTTAAAACTGAAATAAAAGATAAAGTAGAATTAAAAAACGGGTCTATAGATCTAAATTTTCCCACTTTTGGATGGGACGTACCTTGGTTATTGGGAAAATATTGTTAATTTTTTTTTTCTATATTTTATCAAAATCAAAATCAAAGTGCCAACGTACCAAGTATGCCTTCCATTTAGCTAACACCAAAAAGGGCAACATTATGGTATTGAAGATAATAGCCAATCAATTAAAGGCAATAACATTGGAAAGACAACCAATAAGTATCAAAATCTGCTATGATGCACGCATGCAGCGTAAAGCAACCCCATTCCTTTTCGTGGAACCAGGCCTGTGTCTGTTTTTCCATTAGATCATTTACTGTATGTTTAGTTCCATAACATGCCATTCAAGCAAATAGAGTTTGGTTCTCGGCAGCTTGTAGGTGAAATTTGAATTTCGAATTCGACAAAGATAAAGCTGATAATGTTTTTCTATGGAGGCTTAATGACCATTGGGTGTTGTGTTTTTAATACAGCGAACAAAGTTAAATCGTTGATACCATATTCGCTATGTTTATTTATCCCGTTCAAGAATATATACCAGAACACGCAGTTCTTTGCTGCGATAATTTAAACATAACATGAAATATTTATTTGTCCTTTCAAGGGGGCGTTTGATACAGAACGTTACGCCATCGCTTTGGTACATACATGTTCTGCCGCGGTAATACGGAACTGTGACCTGGGGCAGCGGTATAAACACAAAACCTAGAAGCATGGCAATGTGCGACGATTGGGGAATCGACAATGCAAACTTTAAAGACATTGCATAATCTATTTCTTCCATTTTATTTGGACAAATACGTCATATTTAATCAAGAACGATCAAACACGTACTTGCAACCAGGGACATAAGAAGCGTTCCTCTGTCCTTAATTGGCGCCAACCAAGGTTCACTCCATATAAGTGTTAATGTCACTTAAGCTTTGCTCGTCCTCTGGTGATTAATTCTTGTTTCATCGAAAGCGACAGCTAAGAGAGAGATATTATATTTTTTGACTGGAACTGGAAAGCCCTTCTATTAACGAAGCAAATAGATTACCCTAATCATAAGATAGATCAATGATTAATGACCACGCGTTATGGGGAGTCTCTTTGTTCTTCTTGTGTACCTTTTGTATTGTAAAGTGTCATAGTAGATTACCTTGGTTTTATCGGGCAACTTCCATCTTGCCACAAAACCCTGGATCGGCAAGTTGTGATTTTTCTTAATATTGGAATCCAGGAACCTGGTTTGGATCATTAAAGCCCTTGGTGTGAGGCAGTCACATTTAAAAAGGTAGATGCAACAAGGAAACAACGCCAATAAAATATTTAAATCCAAAATACTCCGAGGATAAACCCAAAGAATATTTTTGATATTTGTTAGTTCATTCCTTTATTTACGTTGATATGTTTTAAAGTGCATAAAGTGTGCAACCCATGACTGGAGGGTGTGTGTTTTGAGCCAGTCCGTCGCAACATTGCTTCTTCGTTCCATCGAGAATCAGAAAACATGTTGCATTGACATTCTGGATGGCTCAGAATTCTCTGCGAGCAGGTACCCCTCCATAAGCGTCCCGCGGTTCTTTAAAAAAGCAATGCGTTGCAGATGCCTTCGTGCTGGTTATTGATGCATGCTTTCCAATAAAAAGTACATTAATTTGCCTGCAGGCGACACAACGAAAATGACCAAGATAACCTGATAGTCATTATACTCTGTTTGAGTTACAGGTAATTGGTTTCTATGAATGCACAGCTTTTATTTAGATTTGTGAATCAAATCAGAGAATAACGCTTATGGTGATAAGAAACGTGCAAATGGAATAATAATAATAATTCAATTTAAATTGCAAGAGAAGTCAAAATGAATGTAATAATTATATGTACTTTATATCACAATATATCTCAAATAATGTCAGATAGTGGAAAGACAATTGTTTGGCATAAATGCTGGTTGCTGGTATTTTAAAGGTTATATTTATTGAGATTCGAGCACCTGGTTAAGACGTGTGATATAGAGCTTTCCACCTGTCTGTAAAATAGACCAATTGCTTTTAAGCAACTGAGAAATTGGGATACCGAATATACATGTATATATATACTTGGTGAAAATACAATGGTGTAAAAAATTAAATCGGAGTAATAAACAACATTAAGTATGACTTAAATACACATAGACTACTTTTAACATCTGGACATCAAGTGAAGGCGACTTAAGCTTACCATATTGCATGCAGCACATTTTTTCGAAATAAATTCAGAATAGCTCTGCTATAGCTACGATTAATGTTATTCCAGTGAACTTTATGATAAGAATTCTCTTAAACAACAGACTTCAAGTTAAGGAGCAGCCATTATATCATTTAGCTACATGTACATGATGCAGTTTCTTCTTTCCATAATAAATGTACCCTCTACCAGAGGTCAGCTGGAGGTCAGATGAGTGACGTCATTTCTCAAATTATGTGCACAAATTGTCGCTGTACATGGAATGTGCATGGAATTAGCAAGATAAATATCTGTAAATATCAAATGGAAATAGACAGAAAACCTTTAAAATATGCAGGCACCAAAAAGAAGGAAATATCAACAAAATACACGCAAGGAATTAATTATTACAATCAATCATGCCGTTTCCAAAAGAAAGCGGTCTCTTTATCAAGCAAAGGTACTCAGTAAATTTGAAGTTAAACAGGAATATGGTTTGGTAGTCACATGTCAAGCTCCTGGGAAGAAAAAAATTTCCTTTATTTTACATCATTAAACAAATAATTAAAATAAGTGGATTGCCAATGTAGATACATGTATCAACCTGTCTCGTTACGACACAAAGCCACTCTGTAAACAAAAGTATGGTATGGTACTTATGGGGGTTAATATTAATTGCCAAAATTGTACAAAAATCCTGTAAAAGTAATCTCATCCTGCAGATTTTCAGAAGCAACCAGCCTTTTTACCAAACAAAGCAACTCAGTAAATTTAAAGTAAAACAAAAATACGGTTTGACAGTTATGGGGCAAACGTCATGTGTCCGACAACGACGGCGACAGCGTCAACGACAGTGACAGTGACGACACGGACAGACACACCGATCAGTGTCTGTATATAAAAAGCGCTCTTTAACCGCGTTAGGGGGTCTATCGCCTGCATTTTGCAAGGTAATGTCATTAGGTGTCTGCCTTCCAAAGATTACAGTAAATGCAGACTCTTTCGATTACTGGTAATGGATTCGGTTTAGTAATATTTATTTTGACATTATGGGGGTTCGGTCGAAATCTAGTTAAAGTATAACATTTTCTCTGTTGT